GATACTATCTCCAGGGAGACAGTGTCCGAATTGAGTGAAATTGTGGGACACCTAGTTGGTATCCTGGAGAATTGCTTGGTGTGGGAAAAAACCCACACATTTGGTGACCGGAAGTGTCAGAGGTGAAGTGTTTTGTGTGACGAATAAAGGAGACACACGGGAAAGAAAAACACAGGCGGAATGAACTGGGTTTTTTCTTTTACAACTCTCCATGTCAACTCCTAGTCCTTTGAAATAATGCTGAGAAATTCAGCTGCCGCCATCCTAGGTGGACCTGTACTCGCTACCATTCTTGTCAAATGCAGACTTTCTATAGTACACAGAAATGGAATTCTACAAGGGAACATCCCCATCTTCATCGACCAGCTTCAACAATGATCACCTGAAGGCTCAACTTGTTTAATACAATCCCGCTGACGTCCCTTTTCCTATATTATTTAAAGCAAACCCCACACATCATGTCCATCTGTAATTATAACAGGATGTTTCCCTAAATGATGACTCTTTCTGAAAGTGTTATCATGATAGTATTACAATTATTCAGTAAATAATTTAAAATCTTTAATATCATGAAATAGACAGTGTTCAATTATCCCATTGTTGTTTTTAGGTTGGTTTCTTTGAGTCAATATGCAAAAAAAAATCCACAAACTATGATCAGTGGATATGTCTTTAAGCCTCTTGCATACACAGGTTCTCCCTCATCTATCTCTCTCTCTCTCTTTTTCTCTCACTCTTGTTCTCTCCTCTTTTGTCAATTATTTGTGATGAAACGGAAGTGTTTGTTCTGTAGCATTCCCGCAGTCGGAATTTGGCTGATTTTGTACCCAGATACACTTTAACACGTTCCTCTGTCCTCCACACTTCCTCTCAGTGGGTGGTAGAATCTGGAGCGGTGCTGTCTGATAGAAAGACAACGCAGGGCCAAATGCCAAACGTAATTTAATGAATGTAGGGCCGGCCATCTGGCTCAGTGCTTAAGTTCCCACGCTCCCCTTTGGTGGCCCAGGGTTTTGCTGGTTTAGAGCCTGGGCACGGACATGGCACTGATCATCAGGGCATGCTGAGGTGGTGTCCCACATCACACGACCAGAAGGACCTACAACCAGAACACACAACTTTGTACTGGGGGACTGGGGGGAGAAGAAGAAGAAGAAGAAGAAAGAAAAAGAAGATTGGCTACAGATGTTAGCTCAGGTGCCAATCTCTAAAAAAGGAAAAAAACTTAGTAGCCACCTGGGAAACTAACATGTACGAGCAGTCAACAAAACAAAAGGCTCATCTTGTACACTGCTACAGTTGACGGGAAACGAAATTTACACAGTTGGGTCTAATAAAATAGCATTCCACCTGTCTTCAGTTTGTAAGTTTACATTTAAATGTTATAAATTCAATAAAATTAAAATTCAGCTCCTCTGCACCCCTAGCGACATTGCAAATGTTCAATAGCCACATGTTTCTCGTGGCACTGTGTTGGATCCGCAGATGCAGACACTGATTGGATTCAGGTTTGATAGGGTGACAAGACTTCCTCAAAAGCGGTGTGTGCTCTTCCATCAGGGGACACGTCCCGTCCTGTGTGCCTCTTCTGATGGTGTTAGCAGCCCTTCATGTGCAAGGCCCAGGTCCATTCAGCAATGACGCGGAGCAAACTGGTGATACTCCCTCGTCAGGTCTTATTACCTGGGACACTTGCAGAAAGAGAAACATCCCCTAAATAACTAGTCAGTCAGTTAACGGCACAGTCTGTAAAGAGAACTGCAGCTAAATGAGCTGGTCCCCCAGCACCCTCTGTGGTCACCAGTTAGCTTCCTTTCTTTTTCTTTTTCTTTTTCTGGGTTGCCATGAACTCTAGGATTCAGACACATGGAAGCAGTTCAATCCATTGCAATATGGTCCTTACTGATGCTCCAATTATCCTCCCTTTCAGCAAAGAATGTGAGCTCAAGTTGGCCCCTTAATCCTTTTGATAACATGCTAATACTCTCTGAGACCTCTCCTGATATCAGGATGACAAGGTGTTTCTATCTCATCTTGAATATTTACTGCTCGTTCCTCGACTCAGCGATTTCTTTAACAAACTCTGGTTTCTTTTTGTGCAAAATGGTCTTCCCAGATCCAACTGTGTATCCTAGAGGTACTCATTGCCATTCATTAGTTTCCAGTGGACAGAACTAGGAAATGCGCATTTATTTTCATACGTATTCATGTACTCCCGTATATTCACCAACACTGCCAATTCTAATTTGGAACTACAGGGGTTTTTTCTTTTTTTGCTGAAGAAAATTCACCCTGAGCGAACATCTCTCGCCAATGTTCCTCTTTTGTATATGAACCACTGCCACAGCATGGCCACTGGCAGGTAAGTGGTGTAGGAACTGGACGCAGGCTGCTGAAGCCGAACATGCCCAACTGACGCACTAGGCAACGGGGGCTGCCACTATCGGGATTTTATCGGCTGTCTATCTTTCACCTGAATCTCCTTTCTCTAACACTGAGCAGTTTTTGTTTTAAAGGACACTGGGAGTAATAGAATTAGAATATCCCAAAATGTCTCATTTACATTTTCCCCTCATTTATATAAACAAAACAATACAGACAATAGCAACACCACCACTAATAACACGCTTGAGGAAAGTGGCTTCTGGTTTTGTCACTCTCTTGGAGTACAGATAAATTATTGTGTTTGAGAGTCTCTTGGAAGAGTTCTAATCCACATGGTTGTTCTACAACAGGGATACACAGTTGGGTTCATTTGTTGCCTTGTGTTTTCAATGTCAAGAGGTGAAATTTCTGAAAATTTCATTTAGTTTTATAGTTATGTCACAATGAATGCAGAGGGGCTGCCCCGTGGCTGAGTGGTTGGGTTCGTGTGCTCTGCTTTGGCGGCCCGGGGTTTCGCTGGTTTGGATCCTGGGTGTGGACATGGCACCGCTCATCAAGCCATGCTGAAGCGGCATCCCCCATGCCACAACTAGAAGGACCCACAACTAAAATACACAACTATGCACTGGGGGGCTTTGGGAGAAAAAGGAAAAATAAAATCTTAAAAAAAAAAATGAATGTAGATCGCAACTGAAATCTAACCAAACAAGTTACATGCGAAGTAGTCTAGCCTTGACTGTAAGATCTGCAAGTGTCTCAAGGGTCAGACAAAAGAGCTTCCTTTTATGGGGGCAGTAAGCAAGGGGCGAAGAGCCACGTGTGGACAAGTAAGATGAAAGGGGCTTGATTAGACAGCAGATCAGGGAATGTGCCATCCTGAGACCAGCCTACACTCAGTTCAGGCTGCAGACGGGTCAAAATTCCGGGGCTTGGAGGAAGGAGAGAGACTTAACCAGAGTTGGATTAACAATCATTTTGTTCTAATCGGTTAGTGTCTCCAGCAGTTCAGCTGATCCTGTGTGAAGCAAAGAGTGGAAATGGGAGGGTCTGTGTCTGGCCTTGTCATAAGTAGACAAGGAAGGTGTCCATGTGTGTCATCTGAGTCACGTGGAAAGGGCAGTTCTTTGCAGTCAGCCATACTGACGGGGACGCAAAGGGTCCCAGGATTTCTTAACCTGCCCTATTCCCCAGGATCACAAGGCTCTGGTAAAATTTGACCTTATCAGAGCCCAGTGTCTGGCACATAGTAAATACTCACTATACAGGAGTTCTTGTCAGCCCATCACTCAGCATTTTCATTATCTCCTGTGTTCTCTTAAATGACTGCATAGCCTTTCATGGTGTGGACTGGTCATAATGCATTGAAACGTTTCCCAGTTGATGGACGTGAAATTGGTTTCAACGTTTACGGTTACAAACAGTGCTGGAGGGGAGCCCCTTACACATATATCCCTCCTCGCTAGCACTCTTCTCTAGGAGAGGTTCCTTGTAATGGAATTGCCTGATCAAAGTACTCGTGCATTTCTCCCTTTTGCTAACTCCCTCCTCAGTGCCCTGCAAAGAAGTGGGACCAAGTCACAGTCTCACCGTTTATGAGAATATTCTTTTCTCCAACCTCTTGCCAACATGCATAGTACCAGGACCTGCAATTTTTTTTTTGCCAACAATCAACCCCTGTTGGGAGATTTGCCCACAGGAGTTACCACAGAATTGGACTCTGGGCAAGTAGCCCAACTAACTGGCACCCTGGAAAAGCTGAAACCAGGATACCCTTTTTTTTCTCTGTTATCTGCTATCTCTGTCATGTCTGTTCTGTTAGATAAGCTGGCAGCAGATAGCACTGCAAACTCATTGCTTGCTGGGGATGACAGTGTTTGTTGGCTTCACATGTCATTCTGGATTTTGTGGATGAGGGACTGATTCACAGGAGAGACTTGTCATTTGGTTAACCTGACTTCCTCCCAGAGAGAGCCCAGTGAAACTGGGGACCATCCATCCCATGGAGCGAGGCCCGCATGACTGGGCACGAGAAAAATAAAAATCAGAAAACAAGGCCTTCAAGTTTAAAGGTTTGTTAAGGTGGGTCTTTCAACAATGGATCTTTTCCCTTTTTCCCTATTTTTCATGACAACGGGTGGTGGGGTTGCATTGGTGGCACTTTCAATTATTTGGGGAAATTTAATAAGACTGGAGGTTTTTGTTGTCATGGAAGAATTTTGTCTGTGCCAGTAAGGGTCCTTGCTTTAAAATCTTGGCAGGTGAGCTCCAGTGTACAAGGAGATTGCATAAATTTGACATAGGAAATAGAAATGGATGATGACTTCTCAGATAATGTCAATTTAGAATTAAGCACTGCATCTTTTTAATTTTTTCAGAGGTTTGTGTGAAGAGCCATTCCTTGAGAGTTTGAAATGACTTTCATGGTGTTCCTCAAGAGGCACTGGGTCAGGACAAGTCACACAAACGTGCATGCACGACTTACCCTGTGGTTGCAGACATTTTTGCTCCTGCCGGCATCAGATTATGTGTATCTGATGACAGAAACTCAGCAGAATAGAGACAGCATCTGTGTTAGTTTTCTATTGCTGTGTAACAAATGACCACCAATGCAGCCGTTTAAAACAATGCCCATTTATTATCGTGGACTCTGTAGGTCAGAATCTGGGATGATGTGCCTGGGTTCTCTGCTGAGGGTTTCAGGGCTGAAATCAAGGAGGATGGCTGCCTACATTCTCACCCAGACTCAGCGTCCCTTTCCAAGGTCATTCCTGCATTGGCATAATTCAGTGCCTTGCAGTTGAAGGACTGAGGTCCCTGTTTCCTTGCTGATTGTCATTCAGGAGCCATTCTCTGCTTCTACAGACTGTCTGCATTCTTTCTCAGGTGGCTTTCTCCTTCCTCAGATCCTCTATGCTGTAATGTGGCATCGAGTCCTTCTCATGCTGCGAATGTCTCTGGCTTTGTCTTCTCCTACCACCCAGAGAAAACTCTCTGCCTTTAAGAACTCATGTGATTAGGCCTGGCCCACCCAGATAATCGCCCCATCCTAAAGAGAACTGTGCCATATAACATCATAATCGCAGGACTGATATCTCATCTCCTTCACAGGTTCTGGGATTAGGGTGAGACGTATTTGGGTGTCCAGTCTAGATATTCTGTCTACCACAATGTGCCCTTTGGCCCCCAGAGATCCCAAATACAAAATACATTCACACCTTCTTAAGGTTCCTAAAGCCTCATCCCATGACAGCATCAGTTCAATGTCCACATCAGGGCTGCTGAGGCTCCTGGAATAGAATCTATCAGGTACAGCTCCTGGGCACAATTCCTCTCCGTCTTGAGATCTGTTCTCAATAGACAATTGGTGGGACAGGCATTGGATAAAAATTAGAGACATTCCAGTTCAAAAAAGGAGAAAAAAGAAGGTAAAAATGAGTCATTGACCCCAAAGAGTTTGAAAATCAAGGTGGGCAAACACTAGCAGGAGTTCCTCACTTAGGTTTCAAAGCCTCAGAATAATCCTCTTGGTTTGAGGGCTGTGATATCCTGTCTTTATTTCCTGAGACTGTTAATTCCTCTCTCTTTCCCTCCCTCTCTTTCTTGCCTTTAATGAGTGTTGCTAGAGGTAGGTCAAGTTTATCAATCTTTTTGCAGAACTGCCTTCTGCTTCTGTTGATTCTCTTGATTGATTCTGTGTTTTCCACTTTCTGTGTTCCAGTGTTTTGCTTTACTGTGTACTTCCTCCTGCCTACTTTGGCATACGTCACTTTACTTTCCCATCTTCTCAAAGTGGGAGCTCCAAATATTGATCTAATTCCTCTCTTCTTTTCTAATATAGGCATTTAGAGACAGAACCGTTCCTCTAAGATCTTCCTCAGCCTCATCCTATCAGTTTTGATATGTGGCTTTAAAATCATCTCTCAGTTCAAAAGAGTTTCTCATTTCCAACGTCACTTCTTCTTTGACCTACAGGTTTTTTATAAGCATGTTGCTTGACTTCAAAATATTTGGCAATTTTTCAGATACCTATTATTAATTTCTAATT